ACTGAAATAAATCTACTTTTTCATGATATTCTAATTTTATGACAAGCACCTGTATGTACATAAACTGGAGCATATAGACTAGTGCATCCTAAATTCAACATAAATTAATTATTTTATTACAATACAGTAATTTCTGTATTTTTTGGAAGGTCACCTCCTAATAAATGTCATTACAAAAAAATCTAACTGCTCGTTTTAAATCAATACTTTTACTTTTAATACTTAAGTACAAAAAATATCAGATACTTTTAAGACTTTTACTCAAGTAATATTTCCTAAAGGAGGCTTTAACTTTTACCAAAGTAATTTTTTGATAAGATATTTGTACCTTTACTCAAGTATCACATTGTGGTACTTTATACAACCCTGACTTTCTATAAAATTAAACCAATTATAACCTGCTCGAGTCGAGCCGCTGCCTGTCTCTGCTGAAAACATCTCTCACTGAAAGTCCCGCCCTGCTCTGCTCTGATTGGATAAAACTGCTCTGGAGTTCCTCTGATTTGTTGATAGCAGTGTCCGTTTAATCCATCATGGCCCCGCTGCCCTCCTCTGACAGAATGATGATCCAGTCACACCAGTGAGGCTGGATTTTTGTTTACTTTTGTTTGTTTTTAAGAAATCAGGTCACATGTCTGACCCTGCTAGCTGTTGTTTTCACAATCTCAGGTACAATCTTAGGTACGCAAGGGAGCTTTATGACATTCCATCTGGTGCGCTTTTTCTTTTTGGATCGCGCCTGCGCACCGCTTATGTGCAACTCTGGTTATAGCTATTCTGTGCAGCAGCCATTTTGAATTTGTGTGGGCTTTGAAAGTAACCATATGCAGAGATGCATCAAATGAATATTTCCTGAACGTTTAATGCAAATATGATAGTAACGGATGGATACATACACATAAAAACGTTGTCGTCAACCTTCCTCTTGAGAAAAAAAAAGAGAGAGAGAGACAAAGATGTCAGAAAAATGTCTGGACAAACCTTTTGTTCGATGCGTCGGTCATCTTCAGGTAAGTGAGCTGCGACGAACCAAACACCCGGAGCCGGGTCTGAGAGGTTAAAGGTTGTGGAGCTCTGTGAGGTCACTGGGAGAATCAGAGAGAAACTGGGGCTCCAGAGTGTTGCGTTGGGAAACACCGAGCCTGTTGGGTTTACGACTGGAGGGGCACCCCATCGCAGATGTCTGTAAAACAAGGAGAAACGTTGAGTTGGGAAGAACAGAGGCACAGTGAAAGTCAGGAGATGAAGATGTTTGGGTGGTGCAGAGCTTTGTGTCTCACATGGTGACGTTGTGTTGTCCACAGTTGAAGGTGTGGCCTTTCTTCACAGAGAACAACCAGCGAGCGACGGCGGTCTCCTCGGGCATCTGGAACCTCTGCAGCCTGACGTTGGCGTACCAGCCGTACTTCGACAGCTTCTGAGCCGGCTTTGACGAAAGCTCAGATACAAAGGTCACCTGTCCATCTGCAGGAGGAAACGTTTGGTCCAATAACATCAACTCTTTGTTTTTCTGTTAGTGAAGCATTGTTAGCTATAAAGGACAGGCAAAAAACAGGGAAGCCTTTTATTTAGAGGCATTTTTTGTGTTAAAAATGTTTTTCATTTCAAACCAGAAGAAAAAGATAAAACACAGCATTTGAGGGGATTTTAATTTACTGCTATCCAAAAGTGTAAGTTTTAAAATGTGAATATAATACAAAATTTCACAAACGACAGAAAAACTTAATGTGCCTATTTTTATGCTGACATAATGCTGTATTATTATAGTTATTTTTTTATAGTAGAACAAACCAAACATTTCATGCCTCATTTAAAATGACAAAAAGTCAAACAATATGATTCCTGAGTGAAATAATAATTTAATATGAACTAAAGAGAATAAAAAGAATAAATATAACTATTCAACACTTTGAGGGAATAAATCATATTATAGCGGCGGACTATAATAAAATGCTCTATAATTTACAAGACAAAAGCTTGAGAAACGGTTATTTACAGAGTGCAGGCACGCGTTCGTTTGTCCCTGAGACGAAAGTTAAGCCAAAAAACTACAACAGTTAGCTAAGATGCTAACGGCGGTAACAGGGTTAAAACACCCACCGTCTGCTAACGTCCAAGCTGTCAGGGCCAGGAAGAGGAGACCGCGCAGAAAACAAACCTCCATGGTTCTGTCTGGACTGTCCGAACCACTACATCTCACCGGGTCCACCTGAAAAGTCGCTCATACCTTCCCAAAAAAACAAAAACACTCACTTCCTGGTTTCGGTGTTAACGCGTTACGTCTTACGACTCTAACAGTGATGCATTTGGGTGCCCTCGGAAATAATTCGATCACACACGTTTAAGTATTTATTTTCTTAAATTTTAATATATTTCTGTTGGGAAAATTCACTCGAAAACAAAAAGAAAACATATTATGAAAATCAAAGTATGTACTATCAAAAACATGCACGTATTTTTTTAGTTTCTGTGAAAAGGATATTTTACTGAGCATGAAGAGAATTTAAAGCGTTCTCTTAGCAGATGAGTAAATCCAAGTGTACTTAAAGTGGTCCAATTTATAATAACAATAATTTGACTGCCTGACTGTATCTTAATGTTAAAGACCCATCACAATATTTATGATAATAAATATGATAAAAATATTAATAAGTAATTGGAACTCTGTGCAGCAACAGAGAGATTTGAGGCCAGAGTTCTCATTTTGAATCTTTTTTGAAGCTCTTCTATGGAGTGTGGATAGTTGTTTCAGGATTCAGGATTCATTTATTGCCATATGCAGGTTAACAAAAGTCAACAATGCAATGAAATTCTTAGGATGAGAGGAAACTGTTCAACTTGCCACACATATATATGTATATATAAAAAAGAAATAAAATGAAGTAAAGAAATAAAAAAATTCTAACAAAAAATATGAAAATTACATAGTTTGCAGTGGAAACACAGAAAATAAAATAATTTTTAAGAGTAATATGTACAGTGTTAGGTGATAATGTTGATCAACAAATAATTTACATTTAATGTTTATGTCTTTGTCTGTGTCTCTGACCTGGATTCATGTCCAGGTGCCCCCTGCTTTCACCTAAAGGCAGCTAAGATACGCTTTCACTCTATTCCTTAACTACGAGATTTTCAAATCACAGCCTCTTTGTACAGCCAACTCATCATTCTTTGTAAAACCTCAAAAGAACTCTAACTCTTATAAATAACTCTTATGTAATAAAAGCTCCACAGACTCCATGAATCAAAAACATGCTGTCACACGCTTTTATAATACGTGTTTAAGTTACTTGTATATTATGTATTCATTCTACTTACAAACACATACGTCCAAAAGAGGCTCCCAGTTGATTTTTATTTTTCTATCTTCAGTGTGTCAGACAAAACTAGCATATATTGTCCAAAGTTATCTAATAGTGTGAATGGGCCTTTAGATTAACTGGTAACTTTAAATTGTCCCAGGTGAGGATTGTTTTGTTGGCCTCTGTGTCCCTGTGAGGGACTTGTCCAGAGTAGAGTTTAGTTTTATGGCCCAAGCTCTACCTGAAAGTACATGCTTGATGGACAGTTAAGGCTCAAGCTTTTGTGGCACATTTTTATTGAGCCCACCATCTTCTTCTTTTCATTTCGGTTTTTCTCTTTTAGGGGTTGCCACAGCGAGTCATCTGTTTCCAAGTAACCCTATCTTCTGCATCTTCTTCTCTCACACCAACTACCTTCATGTCCTCTTTCACTTCATTCATAAGGGAGCTTACAAATCCCTCCTGGACAGTGTGAGGAGATTATTCAACAAGCTCCTGGGCCCGACAACATACCTGGCCTTGTGCTGAGAGACTGTGCAGGGGGACAGACATCTTTAACGTTTCACTGAGTCAAACCATCACCCCTGTCCTGAAGAAGGCATCACCCTCCTGTCTCAACGACTACCGTCTGGTGGCACTCTCCTCCGTCCTCGTGATGGGCTTTGAACGGCTGGTCACGCAACACATTCAGTCTATACTTCCTGCCATCCTACACCCCTTCCAGTTTGGACATCAATCTAACCGCTCAACTGATGATCTCCACTACCTTCAACAGCTCATACTCAAACTGGTCAGCCTGGGCCAGAAAACCTTGATGTACTGTACAAGTTGGCAGAAACACATCCAGCACCATCACACTGAATATGGGGACACCCCAAGGATGCGTGCTGAGCCCCCTCCTCTTTATCCTGCTGACACACACCATCACACATCCCCAGTATCTTCATCAGGTTTGCCCCATCACATATGTAAGTTACACACAAATAGAGCAGTGAGCAGCTATTTAAAAATAAGTGCCTTGCTCAAAACTCCACAACGTATTATAGCCTCAAGACAGCTGCTCGGCCACTGCCACCCACTCACCCTAAAACCGATGCATCTAGATTTAATCCTAATCCTGCATCAGTCAGTGGCCAGCTGCTCCACTGATTCAAACACATTCTGCATGCAAGCAGCCTGTCAATCAATACAAGTCAGTAAATCTTCATATTCCTCTTATAAAAGAGAGTGCTTTGTGACAAAAATGGGTCTAAACTTGTTTTTGACTTGTTTTTAATGTCAAAGGTTGTGATGATAAACAGACAGTGGATGATCTGTCAAGAAATACTAGAAATGCATTTTTTTAAACCAAGAGTTTCACTATAACAAGAGTTATTTGTCGGTTTAATATGCAGAGTATTAATGAATGTTGACCATGTGCACATACAAATAAAAAAAGCACTCTGGATTTGAAAATTCACCACAGCGAAAACCAAATGGCTTCAATTCAGATTTTTCAAGAATACAAAGCTAAAAGTTTCTGATAGTAGCTAAGAATGATAAAAATAAACATGTTAAATGCTAGTCAGAGCTTATTATTCAGTCATTTTTAGACACACAAAGCAGAAGATTAGTGAAAAAGCAGCCAATTACTATATTTACCAAATTCTTACGTCTAATCAAAAATTCAAGATGGCCACCAGAATTAACTTTAAAAGGCTATGGTTCAGCCATTATAAAACTTAGATATGAAATTTGTTGTGGAGTAGATAATAATGATCACATACTGATTATCAATGCTAATACCAAATTAAGCTAACCACAAATGCTAATTTTGTACTGGTCAATAATTCAGCCATTTTAAAACATACACAGCTAAAAAACTATAAATGGTACAGTAGTATCAGAGAACAATCCAACAAAATAAACGATCCACACCTCTTTTGTCATTTATTTGAGGGTGGAAAATCAGATGCCAGGGATGGCACTTGCCACCCTGACGAGAAGGGGTTATCTGCAGAATCAAAGTGGGCGTGTCACAAGAGTGGGTGTGCCTAAAGCATAAACACTGTGGGCTACGAGGCCTACATGACGGTATCCTTAGATCCTCCTTTATCTCTTTACAGCCTGACCCTGACCCCAACACTAAGGTTAACCAGGAGAAATGTGACCCAAGTAGGATTCTCCAGAAAAAGTGGTGCCGTACAGTAACACCCCTTTTGTTCTTGTCCAATGAGGTGGTGCCGTACAGTAATGCCCCTTTTGTTCTTGTCCAATCAGGTGGTGCCGTACGGTGACGTCCCTTATTTTGCTTGTCCGTTGTGTCCCTTTAACAAAAGTCCGTCAAATCAGGTGTGTCGCTTTAGAATCGCCTTTCGTTGGGACACGCCCACTCGTCTGCAGAGACTCCTACTTCACCTCAACCACACCTCTGGCTCCGCAGATATTTTATGAAAACAAAACAAGATGGAGAACAAAAGAAAAAGGCATAACTCCAAAATCTCAAACATGCACCAAACAGTGTTTTCTCAACCAGTTGCATTGGCTTCACCATGTTCAACTTTAGTTATTTAATTTTGTTCACAAAGTCGGACACACACAGTCACACAGAAAGCCACCAAACCAATCCTAAAGAAGCTCAGAGTGAATTAACACAAAGACGACACTCATCACGTTAAACAGCATCATTCCAGCAGGACACTCCTAACATCAACATGTTTTTTACTCTTCTTGTGTCTCAGGAAGTTTACACTTTCTGGCATTTACTTAAAGAAAAACATCTCCAAACTATAAATTGGTGACATCATCCTTAGATTGCATCCAGGACCACTGAGAGTTGTAGGTCAGTGATGGATCTGTTCCACAGGCTGAACTCTGGTCCTTCTCTGTCGAGTCGAAGCTCTCCTCTGTGTTCTTCCTTCCTAAAACTGGAGTCAGCCTAGTTTTTTCTGCTTTCGTTTGTCTTCTCAGTTTGCTACATCTGAGCAGAGCTCTTTTGATGGTTTCAGCTCCACTTTTGATGTTTCGCAGCCGTGCCGGATCTGGCATTCGCTTTAGCGACTCGGCTACTTCATCGCTGATGGGAATGACGGCATCAGTGACCGGCTCCACCTGAGGGTCGTGAACAGAACCGCTGGTTTCACAGCTGAAGCTGCAGAGACTTGAAGGTCCTGCTTCAAGTGACTCGAAAAGACTTGAATTGTAACTGTTGGCACTTGTTTTATCCACTGGGTTTTCACTGATGGTTTCACTCAAAGACTCCGGCGAGGCTGGACTCAGACTCGGGCTTGGACTCGGACTGTCTCTGTAGAATCAAACAAAGAGTCAAAGATTCAGCTACATGTTGAAAACAACCCTGTAAAAAATATTAAATTACTGTAAAGTTATTTTATTAAATCCAGAGGCAGAAAATTAGCCACAACACCATTTTTATTAATCATGTCATTAAATTTATGTCAAAGGATTGCTAAGATGAGTTTTAAAAGGTGCACATGAAATAATCAATTTATTGCTGTTTTCCTGTAACAGTTTTGCAAAACCTTATGTTGTGTACTACACTTAAATCATCTTGTACAGTGCAGTCGTTGTCCACTTTTTTCTTTGGTGAACACAGTGCTGTTGCTTAGAAATGTCTGTCATTGCTGGTAATAGAAAACTAGAGCAAAACTGATTAATCCTCTGAGATTAATCAGAAGATATTGGCTATTTAACAGAAATTCTATAATTTGCCGCACCTACATGTGATGCATTAGGCTCCTTTATATATTAATATTTGGTGTAAATATTTAAAGTACTTATTGATAACTATAAAAGATGCAGAAGATGGCGGCGGTGGCGGCAGATGTATAGCTGTGCAGTATCGCTGCAGGAAAATACATCCTTTTTGGCTTTACAGGCATCAGCAGGTCTGTTTTTGACCAAATTTATCTCAGCTTTAGTGTTGCTGTTACTCTGTATGCTACATAAACGGAAGATCAAAGACACAAATTGATGGACATCATTTTCGAAAAACAACAGCACACAAGCGTCCTATGGCGTGTATACAAGCATCGACCATAAGTTATCCTAACTTTGGTAAATATTATCTACCTTGCCGGTTGGGCTGGTTTCTCCGGCTTGCTGCTGTTGCGGCGTGTCTCGGTGGAGTGGCGGATGTGGRTGGAGTCCCTCGGCCCTCGGATTGTCCCTCRTGTTYGGACGGAGCGCCTGGGGTGGACTTGCCGGCCTGGACGCATGGCGGTGGGAGCCGGGACGGAGCAACTAATCTAACAAGTGAGGCGTACCGGCTTCCCTGTTGCCTATTTAGATCAATATCAGCCGTGCCCTGTTTTTCGGTTGAGGATCAAACTGGAGCTACTGGTTTTGGTGAGCATGCTCGTGTCCGACATTGTGGGAACCATGTCATTCAAGCCTTGAAGTGTGCGCCATTCAGCGAAGAAAAGAACAGCAAGCTACTGACTGGCTTCAGAACCTCACCTGATCGGGTAGTAATTTCGGCCTATTTTACTGTTTTTCATCAGTGGACAAAAGACATTAGTGCTAAAGGCACGGATATAACAGACTCTGTTTTAACCAGTCGGAAACAACATTTAAGACTTCGGTTTAATATTCTTTTAGTCATTGGAAATATTGAACTTAATCCAGGTCCAGATAAAAATGTTTTTATGTCCACTTTTTTATATTTTATGGGATTTTATACATATGTTTTTAATAGTCATCTTGACCTGGGTTTGTGCACAGGTGCATCTTATATAAATCCAACTCACTTACAGTCTACACAGGGATCTATATTATATCCTGAAAAGGTTAGACAACCTCCTGTWATGTCAAGTCTGAACACTACATCAGTAAGAAAGCAAAAGCGACTTTCCTGTCTAAAAAAAATCCAGGGACGCTAAATCAACCAGGTAAAATTAGAGGCTTTAAAATCTGTCATTTAAATATGAGAAGTCTTGTACCTAAACTGGATGAATTCAAAGTAATGCTCAGACACAAGCACATGTTCTAACTAGGGGTTAGGGTGGTGTTGCAGTTTATGTTCACAAGAAATACTCACATTCTACAATAAAACCAACCCATTCTCACTCCCAAGTCGTCACATATTGACGCTTTTCCAAGGTTCCCTCTAAGTCCGATTTTGACGCGCCGGGTAC